TAACAACACAATAAGTAAGGAGAACAACCTAGACATATATATATATATATATATATATATATATATAAAATGCAAAAAACAAAAAAACAAAAAGAAAACCTCACTTACTCAGCAAAGAGCCAGTTTTAGCAGGGTTAGCTAGCTCCCGTTGGTTAGAATAACCACAGAGGAAGAGTGTTTTTGTTCCTTATAGGGTTGAGTCTTTCTCAGAGGAACTACTTTAAAATCAAAATGGTGCCAAGGTAACTCTGAATTAAGCAGCTAGCTGCTGCTGTTAATACTCTCTCTCTTCACTTCATTGAAACTGAGTGATAATCTAAGTTTACAACCCTAGCTAGTTAGCTGGCTAGGTAGGTAGCATGTTTAGGTACCGTGTCAGTGCACTGGGTTTAGGAGCCAGGGGTTCGAACTGCCAGTCTTCCAATTAGTGGACGACCCGCTTTACCTACCAGTTTAATAATTCCCTCAATTATTTCACAAACACAGTAATTGGGTAATTTACCCAAACTATTCATGCGATTATTAATTACACAATGTCTGTATTTATTGACTATTGAACACTTCTGATAGAGACTGATAGAAGCTGAGATCCAGGGAATCCAAGATTTCTGCGTATTGTTCATAGTAAAAGGAAAATACCAACAACAATAAAAATATCCGTTCTGTTTACTGACAAACTGCAGTCTGTCTGACAACAGCACGCTGTGTATTTCTGCAAAACATAACTTTGGCAGCAGCTCAAGGGACGAGAGGACATGTTTGGGGAACAACACCAACATTGGCTGTTAACTTCCTTCCTTTTGTCTTCTAGTTTCATTTCTCTCTTATTGGAGGTCAACTCCGCAAAATAAACTAATGAGAGGCAAGATATTTTACTGCACAATATTCATTTAAACATTTTCCAATTCTTCCATTTCCCTTCAGCTGAGTGTTCTCTAAGTTACAGTAACCACCAGGACACAGTATTTGGGATAGACTCAAAATGAACTACAGTGCCCAGGGTCATTGTAGTGAAGGAACATGTCACCAAGTGCAACAGTGTGGCTCATTCATGTGTTGTTAATGTTTTTTTTGACAACAATAAAGCTCTCTGGTACATAGGAATACGATATGTCAGGCTTTGCATCAATCCATTGAAATCTGTGATACAGTAGTTGCTAACTTACCTGTAATTGTAGCTGCTGTACTCAAAGTCAATGAGCATCAACTTCTGTTTGTCTGAGCTCTGGCGACCCTTCAGCAGCAGGACGTTCCCTGAAAGCAACACAAAGACATGTTATATTTTATGAAAGAGAAAAGCAAATGTGCAGCATTTAGGGGCCACTGCGTCTATATGATTTACCTTCTTGACAGTCGTTGTGGCAGAACACTACAGGAGAGTGGGTGGATTCCAGCAGAGACCTGAAAAGGACAGAAGTCAGAGGATGATCAACTGTGTGCATCTTCATACATGGGGCACCATGTTTCCTATACATTATCATGAAGCTACAAAATATTCTGGATATTACCAAGGCTGTTTCCTATCTGACATATTAAAAGAATTGCAAATAGCCTCAGAGCAGGTATTCCCAACTCATTTAAAAACAAATGTTCCTGGAATGCGAGCAAAAGTTCTTTAGAGACAACAGATGGTGGTTCCTTTGGATTAATGGCTTACAACGAAGCAGCTGGAACAAATAGATGGTTTGATCCCAAGGACTAGGAGCCAAACCTCCACTACTATTGTATGATTAAAATGACCATACCATATACAGTATAAGGTGTATTAATAGGGTTGGTGTTTGCTTATGTTGCTGCTTTTCATTGTGGTCTGATCCCTGTTATGGAACAAAAACTTAAAAACTGACTTAAAAACTTGACATGTAAGAGTTTTAACTGACTTGCTCTTCTTTATCTCTACATGTCTAGAACATGAGCAGGTGTGAACTTTGTGATATGAATGACATTATGTTTGCTTTGATCACAGCCAGGTTAATTTGAGCTTTTTCTGTGCTCTCTAGGACCTACACATTCTGTACATTCTGTTGCATAACACCATGTTTGGAAACTTTCCATTCTGCAGTCACATGTTATGTTATCCCCTCTGTACTGGTGTGTGTGTGCGTGTGTGTGTGTGTGTGTGTGTGTGCAGGAACATACTTGAGCATATCCATCTCCTGCGGGAGGTTGTAGCTGAGCAGGCGGTTGAAGCGGCGCAGGTGGGACTCCCGTGTGAAGTTCAGCCTCAGGACTTGGTTCAAGTACCTGCAGAGAGGGTTACACACACATTTAGTTATACTCCACTCTTCCCCTCAGAAACATTTGAGTTGTATCTTATAAAGGAAAGTGACACACAGTGAAGTCAGGATCATGTGAAAGAGTGAGTGTCCTCTAGAGACTCACTGATAAGCATGATGTCACAGATTGAAACTCCATGAATGAGAATCAGAGGGTATAATGACCTTACAGGAACTAAAGGCAAAATATTTGTGTGATGTACATTTCCTTCTTCTACAAATGCAATTACAATCAATTATTAATTAGTAGTAGTAGCAGTAGTGATAATAGAGTAGAAGGATTGCTAGCAGTTTGTATGAAGAGAGTGTGCGTGTGTGCAGAGAAGAGGAACAAAAGCACAAAAAATGATGTGTGGTTTGTCACATCCACCATGTAGTCAAAAATACTACTCATATCTGTACTCTCCTTTTCTCAAGAACTTGAACTCTTTAAAGAGTGGTTTGTCTGTTCTAGTCAGATACCTCAAAACAAGCTTTAGCTAAATCATCATTACTGCCATTCTCACATCATATCTATTTTTGTGATAACAAAGCATATACTGGTAGCTGGAGGTGAGATTTGTGTAGAAGCAGCTCCTGCTTACTCTACAATGATTTCTAAAACATGATGAAGAGTAATTTACTAAAGCCATCTCAATGGGACAACAGGCAGCATTTAGGAGCCTCAGTATGACTCAGGATCTGTGTGGATGCATCAGCACTCACGAGGTTTTCAATTAATTCAATAAAAAAAAAAAATTACTTATCCCACAGGGGCAATTTCTGTATAGGGATGGGACGATGTAAAAAGGGTTAGGGTTACTTTAAGTATTGTTCCTTGCATTCTTTCCTTTAAAATGGAGGTAAAGGTTTAAATCTTTACAATCTGGTTAAATTCCACAAGTTTTTGTAGATGTGTAACTATGAGCACTGAAGTGAACAGATATACCTGGAAAAAAACCTTTAAGTCATAAAACTGATAATCTCTCTTTTAAACTGAATGTCACTTCAGTTTAAAAGAAAGAAAAAAATCAACAACCTGGGTCCATTTGCTGCTGGCATACTAAACTTCAAGGCCAAATCATCAGACAGAGATAAAGGACTCTCAGCTGAGGACTTTAACACAGCCACAAACCAAATTCTGGTGTGATTTGGCTGTTACTGCAAAGGTTTAGCTTCTGTTTCAAATCAGGTCTAAAAAACTAAAATCAATGGCATCTCTATTAAAGAGTCAAAACTGCTTTACTAGACTTAATACCTCACGGTCCAGATGATAGGGAATCTTACTTTCATCAAATCATCTTTTGGACGTTCTTTGAAAAAGTCAAGTGAGATTCCTGATCAACTCATACTACATATTATGTTTCTGATCTCTTTTGGTCTTTTCTGACATGGAAATTTACAAAATCAGTCACATGGCAGGACAAATGAGTAATGCTTTAAATATATAATCCGGGAAGTGATAAACCAGTACAAACGACCAGTGGAGCTGGACAATGGACTTTATCACCACACGTTGACAAACATTGTGCAATGTAAACCTTGTACACCCAACAAATACACTTGAATGCTAATTGAAACGCAAGTGCATTATGATAAGCCACATGCCACCTCATACTTAATGAGTGAGTAATCAGTGACAAAATTTATTCTCTTAGGATTCTAAAACTCCACTTACTGACTTTGGACCTGGTGAATAGGTATTAGCCAGATAACACACAGAATGTATCCATAAAAAAGATCCATAAAGTAATATCCATAAAGAGACTGGACACAAGGTGGGTCAGGATGGGACAGGACAAGACTTAAATGACTTACTTGTCCATGGTTCCAAACAGCCACTTGGGTTCCTTGTTAAAGGGCATCCTCATTCCATGAAACCTGGCCATCTTCTCTGCCACCTCCGCTGAGATGCTTGGGTCGCTCAACTCACAGGTGTCCAGTTTACGGCTCTGTCAAGCAAACAAGATATTATAAATCATTATTGTATTCATCCTCATTTTTTACTAAAACAATATCCAAACTTCTAATACTATTTACTATATTGAGACACCAATATTAGAGCTGCTTTGAAGTAACCAGACCAGCCTGATTGGTAAATATAAATATAAATGTACTGATGTTTTACAGTACTCTCTCAATGCAAAATTTCTGGTGCAGTTTACAAATGTCCTGGACCTCATGCCTCACATAAGAACAAGTTTGTTTGTTTTTCTGCTTTTAGATCATTGCAGGGCTTTCACTGTCTTGCACTACTGGATTTTCACAGTTTCATGGGAGCTACATAAAGTCAGCTGAGCTCAATATTGTTTTCTCTTCCATCTGTAAAATGAATTGTGTAACACAGAACTGTTTAGCTACTGAATACCAGATGTTTTATGGTTTATTAATTCTCTCTGAACATCAATCAATGATGCATCATTGAACAGTACACTAACACACCAACACCATGTTGCATCATTCAGTCCCCAGCTGTCTGATTAAATGTACTAAAAGAGAGTTTTTCACTGGTAATGAAACAGTTTCAATTTAAAACTGACACTGCTTCTGTCCACAGGGGTTGCCTCATGCCTTTGATACCCAGCCCAATGTACACTACAATACCACAATGTAAAAAACTGTAATGGAGAGCATAGGGTGTTCCTACTATTTTGTGTATCCATGTTTAAAATTATAGTACAGTACTTTCAAGTAAACATGTGTGCATATGAACAAAAACATGGTGACTTACAGGGACGTACTGCTCCAGTCGGCCCTGAGGGAAAATACCGTAGAGTTTAGGTCCCAACTCCCTCTCCGCCAGGATGGCAAACATCACACTCTCCAACACCATGGCCTCGGCCCCCTGGAAACACACAACAGTAAACTCAACATTAAAAGTATGAGAGCAGTCCACACCACCATCACCACGCATCAGTGCTGTAAAAGGCAGTGAGAACAGCATGAGAGATGAGACAAAGAGCTTTTTCTGACGATGTTTTAAAAACGTGAAAGTCAGGGTGAGGTATGGATTGAGAGTCAATGTCGGCCCCTTTCAGACTCCACCAATGCCAATATGGTGAGGTAACTACAACGCAAGTCATAACAAGTATGAAAAATGGCTTTGATGTGATGAAAATCTTAAGGAAGGTAAAGCATTCTGCTAAATTTACATCCCGAAGGAAGTTGGAAAGAATGAAAATTCAGGGGGCTTAGCTGGTAATCTGAGAACCAGAAAAATAATAACAGTGCCTTCATGTTAACAGTTAATATTTAAAGTATAATTGTGTAAAGCTCTGGATTAAGATTCAAGTAAATTTCGAAGGTTTCTAAGTAGGCAGAGGTCTGATGTGAAATTAGCGGGGTGAAGTGAAAACCTGAAAGGGGCTTAAGTGGAAATCACAGGGTGGGGGAGAAGGATGGAGGAGTTTGAATGAGGAGAAATGCTGTGGTTAGGGTTAGTTGGGTTTGACTGTCAGAGCGGTGATGAGAACACAAGAGGTAGATTAAAAGTTCCAGGAAGAAGTTGGCCCACTCAGAGCACCAGTCACTGTCGAAGTTGCTGAGGCAGACGGGGCAGCCTTGTCTTTCTCCCTTTATCTTAGAGACACACAAAACTCACACCAATGCACGTAGCCTGGAGCCCAGCGGGGGCTCAAGGTTAACTGGGAGACCTTCTCTCATACCAACACAAACAGCCTTGGGGCCTGAAAGACTAACACTGTGCACTGGCTTCTCACCCACTTGATTCTGCTCCAGTCGGTTTTGTGGGGAGAAGACAGTAAAACAGGTTCCTAACCAAACAGAAGCTCCAAATAGTGAAGTTGTGTTTCTAATAGCATCTCTTGGCGGCAGAGTTTCAATGAAGACAGAAATTGGTACACTGGTTGACTTTAGTCGAGAGGATTCAAAGTTTTACCAAAGTAAACGCTTATTAGTGACATCCAAGTAAGTAGTTGTAGTAGTAAACTAGCAAGCAGCTAGTAAGCAAGAAAGTTCTTTGCCATTTATATTTTTATTCATGTTCTGACAAGAGTTTCTTATACTAGCCAGGTGGAAAACAATGCCTGCTCAAAACTATCTCCAGAAAACTGTCTCTTCTTGGTTTAAATACTATGGGGTTTCAACTCTCTCTACAGCTACAAACAGTTGTATAATGTCTTTCGTCGCTCTAAAGGGGCTTTTTCAAGTCTGACAAAACAACCTTGGTGGTGTCTTAGGGATGCCATTTGGATTATCTTCGTCTGGGCTGAAGACCAAAAGTGTATGACAGAGAGCCTGTGTTACAAACTCAAAAGATCCCATTGAATTGCATTATGGTAAATATAGGATCCAGTGTTTTGGAGATCTACTAGGTAATAGGGTATACTACACCAGTATAGTTGAGCCTGAGCAACTAATCGACAATTAGTGGATTAATCGATTAGTTGTCGACTAATAAATTAAACTACTAATCGTTTCATTGTTTTATGAAAGAAATTCCAAATTCTCTGATTTTAGCCTCTCAAATGTGAATATTTTTTGGTGTCTTTAGCCTCCTCAGTATAGTGAGGATGTCATTTTGGGCTTTGGGAAACAGTGATCAACATCTCTCACCATTTTCTGACTTTTTCTGGACCAAACAACTAATCTATTAATTGATCAGAGATTTACATTTTTCAGTTGCCGCCCTATTCTTGACCTTTGAAATAGATGTTTGTTCAGTTTAATTATCAGTTGTCAACTGAGTAAACTAAATCTATTTGGAGTTGAAAGTTACATATATTAGACAGTGGAAGTTCATCCCATTAGGGTTTTTCCAGCTAATGTTGCAATCTGCTGGATTTCAATTTAGTTCTAAATAGCTCCAATCTATCTTATCTTATACTATCTTATCCCTCTTAAGTGGATAACCTTCAGATAAATTGCAGAAGAAAAGAGATCTGGATCTGAATGCTGGAGTCTTTGGCTACATGCCATGGAATGTGCTTCAAACTGATCGCCCAGTAGGAAGCCAGCTCAAAGGAAACATTGCCTGCTTTGTGGCCTCCTTGATGTTACACATTATTTTGATCCACGCTGCAAGAATATTTATTAAAACAAAACTGTATTTCACCACCTACAGAGAAGCTCAGTAGTGAACTCTTGACCCTTGACCCAGACACTGGTATCACTTTTGAGATGATGTTGGTAATTAAATATACTTTAAATAGAAGGTAGAAATGTAATAATAAGTTTGTTTTTATTTAGAGAGTATAATTGGTAGATACAAGAAATCTAATAAATCTCCTTTTTTGAAGGGACCATGTTGTGAAACAAATGAAGATAAATTCCTTTTCATTGACCTGTATCACAGGTTCTGTCTGAAATCATGATGAATACATGTTCAGCTTATATCTCAAAGAAAATGATTGTGAAAAGGGCTGCAACTCCAGTTTTCATTATGGATCAATTAATCGTTTGTTTATAAAATGTCCAAAAATTTTGAAACTGGCCATCACATTCTTTACTTAAGCCCAATGCAATATCTTCCATTTGTTTGTTTGTTGACCAACAGTCCAAAACACAGGGATATTAAGTTTACTATCATTTCATTTATCAAGAAAAAAAAAATCGTTACATTCAAGAAATTCGAAGCAGCAGTTTTTTTCAATCTAAAAGTGACTACCAATTACTCGATTCTAGTCGCTGATTCATTTTCTGTCAATCAAATAATCAATTAATTGATGTTTCGGTTCTCAGAATGGAGATCTGTCATCTGCAAACAAACTGCACTTTCACATTCATGTGAGTTTGTTAAGAGGAGACTGTTGGAAAACTAGAACGGCACTCGGAGAGCTCAGACTTCCGCCAAGGCTAATAGTGTAGTCTTCTATGATATGTAAATACGCACACCATTCCCTTTGATTACAAGTTCACGTAGGTTGGAAAATACAGAATTCCTAATTATTCAGAAAAAATCGCATCCCTGATTACTAATTTCCCGCACACCTGCTGCATTTGTTTGAACAGTAATGTGTGTGATGGCTGTTGTGTTTTGTTGTATATTTAGTTGCACCACACAATTTATTACCACTACGACATGGCAAATTCAGAAATCCTGTCATAGGAAAGTGGAAAATAATTTGTGTGTGTGTGTGTGTGTGAGATTCGGATCCACTCTATACTACACCTTCCCTTCAAGTTGTATCTAAATCGGGCCAGGAGTTTTTCTGTAATACTGCTGACAGACAAACGGAATGAACAGTGTTCAAAGCAAAAACCCGTCTACCTATCTGCATAATAATAATATAAGGACACAGTGAGCAGTTTAGAAATGCTTGAACATGTTGGACACATAAAAGGTCTGTCTCCTGAACAGCGTGCACACATTCTGTTTCATTCCCAGGGCATTTGTTCAGAGTTATGCAATGCCTTTTCTGCAGAATGCTGATCACATGTCCTTCCAAATCCCCAACGTGAATTATCCACATTACCATAATCATCTTGACATACATACTGCCAGACAACAAGCCAGCTGGTACCCTCGGCATAAAGCAAAGAGACTCAAACTCTGACGGGGACAGCTTATAGGATATATTGCTCCTCCAGCAATATTCCAGTAACTCAGCGAGTATAGCATCTTGGTTACTATAGCTGTATTGACCTAAATCTGCAGCATCCAGCCCTCATATGGACTAACCTTTTGTATATGCAGAGCTTCTGTTGGCTTGTTCTATCCAACATTTGCTATGTGCCCGGTTGACAGTTTGAGTTCAGATCAAAGGAGCAAGTCAGGGATGCAGTTTGTGCATAATCTCTATTAAAATGATAACCTTTACAAACCTGCTTCTTTCTGTGTATTTAAAAAAGGACCGTACAATTACTTTCATTTAGACATATGCCAGCAATAACAATGTTGACTGTGCTCTTGTGTAGTGCACCGATTTAAATATAGCCGTAGTAATAAAGACAAATGCGGTGTACCAAGAGTTATACTCTGTCAGATACATCGACTGTGAATTTGGTAGTGCCGGCCAGACAGCTACCACGTAAACTGAAATGATGCTGAAAATCATTAAAGCCCCTGAAAGCTTGGTGCGATATTTCTATCAATATTTCTCAATATAATCACGATTAGGTGGGTGTGGTTTGATCAAATTTGACAATGAAAAAAAAGTACATGACTAGGGGTATGAGAAAATATAGATACATTTGAGTATCAAAATATTTTGGGGGTTTTTTTCGATATTGAATCGATTCTCAAAAACACTATTGATTTTATGTCTAAACCCCGAAAAACAAGGGACTGTGATAAATATAAATGCAGATCCTACTGT